AAAAAATATTTACATGTAATATTTAGATATTATTTTTAAACTTTTTATTTAATAATTAATAAGATCAGTAAATTGATTGAAAATTAATAAGATTTGATTGATTTTCAAAAAATATGAATGAAAGATTTATCATGTGGACTTCTATCAATGTTATACTTGTTTTACATTTCAAACTATTTTAAATTTACACTACTAGAAAAGTGTCATTTTCCTGTGAATTTTTCTGCAAAATAATATTTGTAGAATTTTTTTGCGAATTGTTTTGCAATAATAGTCGAGTTGACAAAATTTAAAAAATCACACTCAAATTGGGTAAAGGGAAGGCATACACCCAAATCCTTGAAGAAACACTAATACATGTAAAAGAAGGGGGGGTTAGAGGTACCCCCCATATAAACACGTTCACCGGGCTGACAGAGTTCAAGCCGGATAAGCTTAGAAATGGAGGTTCACAGATCCTATGCGATTTCCACATCGCATTAATCTCCATAAATGACTTGAAGACGCTCTGAAACTCCCCAACGTCACCCCTGACCCAGTCGTAGCCAGGGATGACGGGGAAGGGTTCCTTAGGCTGGCTTCCCCCATTTTTCTTTTCGACGGTGGCCATCTCGACGGCCACCGCCTTGCCGCATGCCTTGCCTTTACCCTTGGCTGGCGCGGAAGTAGCGGCATCACTGTTACCAGCCATCAAGAAGATGAAAAGATTTGGGAAGAAGGAGGAGATTGAGACATCGAAGTACCTGGCACTCCTCTGACAAACGAATGGACAGAAACGAGAGGAGGAAAACTCAGCTGCTGGAGAAGGCGACGGAGGAGAACGAAGACAAAGAAAGCAAAGATGGAGGATGAGCAGAGAAAAACGAAGAGGCATCAGAAGCAAGACACGGGAAAAAGACTAAAGTGAAAAGGGGAAAAGGCGCGAGAGAGAGAAAAGGGTTTTCCAAAATTCAAATGGCCACGACACGTGTCAGCTGGGGAACATAACTGATGACACATTTAATGAGGCCCCATCATGATGAAGCACTACCATCATTATGTAACCGTCATTCCACTTGACGCGCCGCCCCCGCATTTCAGAACGCGAAGTGACAGATACAACACATGGCAGTACAGCAGAGACGTGTACGCGAAGGGTCATGATCCCCTACCGAGCTCGGCATTAACTCCTTGACCCATGGTCTTCGGAGCTCGGGGGGCTAGTGTACTATCCGTACTACTATGCCGAGCTCAAGCTCGGCATCTCAGCGCGGAGCGACCTCGAACACACGCTAGGCAACGTCACCTCGACATCCAAGTAGGTAATAAACTGATCTCAGGCCCAAGGCCCAACGAAACCCTAATTCACACAAAGGTACGTGCATTACTTATACGAGACATATATACCCACAAACACTAACTTTAGCATCGGAGTTTCTTTTGCAGGTACCACCCCCGCCTTGGAACAATAAACGTACCCAGTGAAGGAGGCTCATCGATCTTGCCAGTAGATCGTCCCCTACGACCGATCTCTGGTAAGAACAATAGTATAAGTATGAGATTATATAGTTGATGATGACTTAAATGAATTAATTTGTACTACTTATATTAACAACATGCATTTTCTTTTTGCTAGCTTATCTCATCATAATTTCATAGTTAAACGTGCTTAACTTGGAGTAATAAAGGGATGGGTGACCTTCTGGGAAGTTTCCCAGCAAATGTGCAGTAAGGACAAAACACGTTGAAAAGTGAAGTGTTGTGAAATAGCATCTTTGAGATGCCAAATAAGATCGGTTACGAAATAACCGATCTTAAAAATTTAGCTTTTAAGATCGTCTCTTTTAAGATCGGTTCTTTAACCGATCTTAAAGATAAAAAATAATTGATCTTAAAAGTCTTTTTTTCACTAATGATTTGTAATTATTCTTATTTTAATATTTTAATATTTAGTATTTTTAACCATTTTAACTATTGATAAATTTTAGTATAATAAATTTTTAGCTTATAAATAAAAAAAAAATATTTTTTCTTTTAATTTTATTTATTTTTATTTTTTAAAATTTAATTTTTTTAACCATTATTTAAGCTTGCGAACCGATCTGTTATCCGCGAATTTTGGCAGGCCAGATACGAACTTAAAAAATAAGTCCATTTATTTTACAGACTGGGCCTTAAACAAGCCGGACCGATCCGTATACTCACTCCTAATTGTTTATATACATGTTACTTCCTATTTGCAAATGTAAAGATTTTAATTTACTCTTGCTTATTGAAAGCTATACTGAATGATACTAAAGTTCCACTTGATGTGAGTGCTTTGACTGCTATTTCTTTGGACTTGATGATTATTAAAAAAAATGCATCTTTTGGCTGTCGAAAATTGCAGACAAACAGGGATACATTTTTTGGTGGTTAAAAACCGCCGGAAAATGTGGAAAACAAAGTTATATATTGCGGCTGTTTAAAACGGCCAAAAAGGTTGAATCAAGCAAATAACAATTATTAATAACGCTGGAAATGTGCTTTGTAATTTTTACCCTTCAGAAATCACAAAAATAAGCGTCACAAATCACACAAAAATCACAAAAATAAGCGTCACAAATCACACAAAAATGAAAATGTGCTTTGTAATTTTTACCCTTCAGAAATCACAAAAATAAGTGTCACAAATCATTCATTTTTTAGTAAAATGATTTACATACTATTTAAATACAACAAATAAATGTATGCTAAAATAATTGTTTATTCAAATAAAAAAAATATTTATTTGAATAAACAATATTTTTATGCAAATAAATGATTAACATATTCGAATATTGGCATTATGAAGGATAGTTTATAAAGAGGCACGTTCCTATCGGGTGGTAGGAGCTTTCAGTTTCACTGAATTGTTTTGTTGACATAGTAAAAGAAAAAGTGTAACCCACGCCTTCTACTCTACTGCATTGTTTTAATGGCATTCCAATAAATGAATATCATATTCAAATACTCTCAATTTTGTATTCGAATAAAATACCTCATGCATTCAAATACAACAATGAAGTACTCTGTTCAAATGAAATGAATTATATTTGAATAAAAAAAGTTAAAAAGTTAACCTCTTGCAAATTTTCACTTGATTTTGCAAAGAAATCTATAGAAGTGGGATTTACCTCGATTAATTTCCCATCTAATGAATTTTGTATTACACAAATGAATAGAAAAAGTTCTACTGAATTTTTTTTTTCTCTCCACGGTCCACACTATTTTACAGTTATATCTACGAAAACAAACACAACATTAAAGATAACCTGAGATCGACCCTAATCAGCAAAATCTAAGCATTGAATACAAGAGAAAAACTTATTTATTTAAATAATTCTAGACAATTATTTTTAGTTGAGTCAAGAGTATAACTCATTTCATTATATCAATCCCTATAAGATAAAATAGTACCAGCAATAAAGTCTGTATGTGTAAAGAGAGAATTGAATTTTAATCCTTAATTATGCATAAGATGTGAATTAAGCAACTTAAACAACCAAATTAATCCTATGCACAGCCTAAGCAAGATTGACTCGTGTTAAAAAATGACTATTGTTTCTTTAAAAAAAATAGTAAAATAAGACCAACAACTAATTATGAAAGTCAACCCATAATCACAAATAAAGTAATAGAAAGATTCTTTGTGGTTCTACCCTTCCAGATGCGTTCGCAAGGGATTTTTAAATAAAAAGCGACCGATAAGTCCAAAAGATGAAGGGCAAACCCCACCATAAAATGAGAGTGATTATTGTGTTAAATCCTCAACCCATAATCCCGAATGTGACGTGTTGCTCATATATATTATAGGATGTGGCGCTTCACTAGAAAACACCGCCAAACTCGAAACACAACAAATTTCTCATAAACATTCACGACATTACTGTATATTTACATCTTTGGTTTAATTATTCTTTCATCCTTTTGAAACATTATAAATAAATGTACATGACATGAAGCGTATATCTATATACACTGTACAATTGTTGTCTATATCTTCTCTGCTGACCCGAGAAGCTGTCGTGTTGGTGTAAAGAGTCTGTGTATTCTTCTCTGTTTGCAAGGAGTTGGATCGGTCTGCCGTAAGTTCATTCTCTCCATTTACATATTTAACCAAAGTTAGAAATAACAGAAGATGAAATAGAATGACTAATTTGATTTCTCATTGTCTTCTCATGTTTTAGCTGAATGATTATGGAGTTAAAAACATGAGGGGTTCTGTGATTGACTAGGATGAACAATAACTTGATTTCTGTTTTCTTTTATAGAATTTATTTGGTGAGACACCGTGAATTTTTCATTGAATTGAAGTGCTTATAGACATTCATTTATATTTTTTGTACTAATGTCAAACATGCTTTTGTTATCAGCTTCTAATAATTTCTCTTTTAATTTAAGGTAGGCCTACTTTCAGAGTTTGAGTTATTAGATTTGTCAATTTTAATTGATATGTTGGTTTAATATCTGATTGTTGAAATCTTATGGGGTTGTGGGCATGTCCTTTGCAAATGTAGGAGAATGGGTTAATAACTTTTTTGTTTTTTATTTCTCTATTTTATGTCGATGCTTTTCTCAAGGCCTTGGTTGTTTAAGGCTAGTTAGTAGTACCTCCTATTCTAAGTGCTTCCCCTTTTTTTAGCAGTCTTTGTTTTCTGGTATATGGATGAAAATCAAGCATCAATTGACCTATAAAAGTTGTAACATCAAATATTCAATTGGCAATATCATATTAATTAAGCTCTTTTAATCAACACCAGTTTGTCTTTAAAGCTAAGATATTTTTTAAACAATCTATCCTATGAACAACTGCAGTGCCTTGAACATACTGCATAATTTTCAATCAATGTTGGATATAATAATTTATGTTTAGGACTTAAGTTTCGATCTGCACTGCTACTGGGTAATATGATGTTTTGATTCATTATTCATGTTACTAGGCTTTTTTTTTTATATATAATTGTTTACTTATCTTTTGGTCTGTTCAAATGGACTATCAGCATTTCAAAGTCAAAAGCAAGTCGGTGATCAAGGCTAAAGAAATCTCCAAGGATCGCAAAACACCACAAAGCCACACTAGCAATTTGGCAAACGTTTGTCTAATTGTTCTTTTGTAAGTGAGCAAGATTATGATCTTTGAAGTTTGAAGTGCTTGATCTCATATTAGACAGATTTATAAATCCCAACAAAAAAAATATTAAGGAGAAGTGTCAAGAAGATAGTGAAACATAAAATCCTTTTATTATATTTCTTCAAGTGTAGTGTTAAACTCATTACAGGTGCAGATCATAATGGTTGAGCTGCAAATCATCAGTGATGTTGCTTCTTCCTCTAACTCTTCTTCTATGGTTTCTTCAAAAAAATATGAAGTTTTTCTAAGCTTTCGTGGTGAGGACACCCGCATGAACTTCACAAGCCATCTTCATGAAGCTTTGAAGAAAAAGGAAGTTGAAACCTTTATAGACTATGAGCTTAGAAAGGGAGATGAAATCTCACCGGCACTCATCCAAGCCATAGAAAATTCTCTTGTATCTATTGTCATCCTCTCACCAAACTATGCTTCCTCAAAATGGTGTTTGGAAGAACTCAGCAAGATTTTAGAATGTAGGAAAAAGCAAGGACAAATGGTGATACCTGTATTTTACAATATAGATCCATCCCATGTGAGGAAGCAAACTGGAAGCTATGAGCAAGCCTTTGCAAAATATAAAGGAGAGTCCAATTACAACAAATGGAAAACTGCTCTCAATGAAATAGCCAATTTAGTTGGGTGGGAATCTCAAAATAGGTAAATAAAATGATTGAATTTTTTGAAAGAAAAAAAATAAGAAAGATAATGTGTTGTTTTAAATTGAGTTAACTAAATTTGGTTGTAAATACAACAAAAGTTTAAGGATGCTAATTAAAATTATGACACAAATTATATGATATCAATAAAAAATAAAATTGAAGCGAACAGTGAAAGATATATAGCCTATTTAGATATAATCTAGAAAGATTTCTAAGAACTTCTCTACTAAAAATAAAGAATATTTTTCAATAAATAAGTTCTAAAAAACATTTATTGATTTGTATTCAAACATTCTCATAATTGTTTCCTTCTTTTGTGTATGACCGTGCTATGCAATTGTTTCTCTTCATAGAATTTCTTTGTCGACTATTGTGTTTAATTGTGAAGAGTTAAAAAATAATATTTTTTTCTTTTTAGTTGAATAAATGATAGAATGAGATAATTAATTAACAAAAATTTCCTTTACATTGTTTAAAAAAAATTTCCTCGACCGTTGGTCTCACCAGGTCTTCACTATGAAGAACAATATTCCCATAGTATATTATTATACATAGTGAACATGTAGTCAATGATAATTTATTGTAATTTACTCATCTACTATGAAGTTCACTATTGAAAAATATTTCAAATATTTTCTCTTCAATAACCTAAAAATAAATTTAAATATTGAGATCTTCATTAACCTGACTCTTTTATAACTTTTTTTTTATGTCCTATCCATATATTGTTTGTATGTTTGGAAACTTTTATATTCGTTATATGCATGAGAGCATGCGAATGTATAATAACAACTTCCATGGTAGTTTAAGTTGATTGTCTAGGAAAAACATAGATATTGTTTATCTTCTCTAAGTCATTGGATTTTTATTCCTCAATTACATATTTTTCTCTATTATACTAACATATTGATCTATGATTATGTATAATCATTTGTATAATTCCTTTTGTTTTCTATTGTACTTGTTAGGCTCATAACACAACATTTATTTCATTGTTCCTTTTTTCGTATGCTAGGACTGAATCAGAACTCGTTAAGAAAATTGTTGGAGACGTTTTGCGAAAATTGACTCCTAGTTACCGAAACCAACTTAAAGGTCTGGTAGGAATTGAGGATAGTTGTGAAGAAATTGAATCAGTACTGAAAATTGGGTCAACTGAAGTTATAACCATTGGAATATGGGGTATGGGTGGCATAGGAAAGACCACCCTAGCTACTACTTTGTATGCAAGATTGTCTCCTTGGTTTGAAGGTTGTTGTTTCCTAGAAAATGTAAGGGAAAATTCAAGCAGTCATAATAGACTTGAAGCTTTACGTAACAAACTTTTCGCCAAGTTGTTACAGATCGAAAATCATTGTTTTGATCCGAATTTTGTGAGGCGTAAGCTTAAACATAAAAAGGTTTTCATTGTGTTGGATGATGTGGTCACCTTGCAACAATTAGAATATCTAATTGAAGATTATGATTTTTTGGGGCCAGGAAGTAGAGTCATTGTTACAACTAGAGATAAACAAATTTTTAATCTAGTTGATGAAGTATATAAGGTCAAGGAATTGAGTTCTGATCAATCTCTTCAACTTTTATGTTTGACTGTTTTTGGAGAAAAACAACCTAAACATGGATATGAAGATCTTTCAAGAAGTGTAGTTTCTTATTGCAAAGGTGTTCCTTTAGCTTTAAAGGTTCTGGGTGCAAGTCTTCGCCGAAGAAGTGAAGAGGTATGGGAAAGTGAATTGGGAAAGCTCCAAAAGATCCCAAATATGCAAATTCATAACATTTTAAAATTGAGTTATGATGGCTTAGATCATTCTCAAAAGAACATCTATTTAGACATTGCATGCTTACTAAAAGGAGAAAGAAGGGATTTGGTAACAAGTTTACTAGAAGCTTGTGGTTTCTTTGCAATATCTGGGATAGAAGTCCTTTTGGACAAAGCTCTCATAACAATTTCAAATTACAATGAAATAGAAATGCATGACTTGATACAACAAATGGGTCAAGAAATTGTTCATCAAGAATCCATCAAAGATCCTGGAAGACGGAGTCGATTATGGAAACATGATGAAGTGTACGAAGTATTGAAATATAACAAGGTAAGTGGAAAATTTAATGGTTTATTTATGTACTATAGGTAGTATGATAGTCCAACCAATTATTAATTTTTAGATTTGTTTAACAGGGAACATATGATGTTGAAGGGATAATTTTAAATTTGGATACATTAACTGAGGATCTGTGTTTGAGCTTTGATTGCCTTGCAAAGATGGCTAATGTGAGATTTCTTAAAATTCATAAAGTGCGATACTGGGATGAGTACAAATTTAATTTGTACCTTCCTCATGGTCTCAAGTCATTGTCTAATAAATTGAGGTACCTTCGCTGGGATGGATTTTGTCTCGAGTCTTTGCCATCTAACTTTTGTGCTGAACAACTTGTAGAGCTTCACATTTCCTTGAGCAAGGTTAAAAGGCTTTGGGATGGAGTTCAGGTAGGAATGTGGCTATACTTGCTACATTTTTTCTATGAGTTTTTAAAGGTACAAGTGAGCCTTGAATATATGGTAACTAGTTAGGTTTCTCTGTTAGTTAAGGCTCATGATTATTAATTTAAAATTTTTCTTAACATTGTGATGCATCTTTCTTGTTATAGGATCTTTCGAATTTAAAGACAATTCGCTTACATGACTTGCCAGAGCTAATTGAGATCCCAGACTTGTCTATGGCAAGAAAACTTGAACATATTTCTCTTATGGATTGTATAAGTTTGTGTGAGCTCCATCCATCCATCGTGTCTCTCCCTAACCTAACAGAGATGGGATTATTTCGATGTTCAAGGATTGAAATCCTTAAAGTTCATTCAAAATCTCTTCGTATACTTGTCGCCTATGATTGTTCATCTCTCAAGGAATTCTCAATTACATCAAAGGAAATGGTTTGTTTGAACTTACGTAAAACCACTATAAGTGCATTACCGTCATCAATTTGGAATAATAGGAAACTTAGTGATCTTCATCTAACAGTCTCAAACAATCTTGAAAGGTTATCAAAGGAAGGAGGAATGGGGTCGATTACAACACTAAACCATTCCGAGTGCATGAAGCACAATGCATGGAATATGCCATTCTTACAACCACTCCATCACAACTTCGGCAACTTATCGTTTTTAGAAACATTATGGCTAACTGGAATTAATGATGTGAGCTTGATTGCCAACATCCAAAACCTTTCATTGTTGAAATTACTTTACCTGCTAAATTGTCAGAAATTTGTGTCTTTGCCACAGCTTCCACCATCACTGAGAGAGCTTCATTTAAGTGATTTAAGGGAACTCGTGTCTCTGCCACAACTTCCATCATCACTAAGAGTGCTTCATTTAAGTTATTTAAGGGAACTCATGTCTCTGCCACAGCTTCCACCATCCCTTAAATACCTTTGGTTAGATGACTGTAGGAAACTCGTGTCCCTACCACAGCTTCCACCATCCGTGACATATGTGAGAGCCATTAATTGCACTTTTCTAGGGACAGATTTCACTCAACGGATAGCATTACAACACATCTTGAGTCACTCACAGAGTACTGACTGCGAAACATGTTTCATGTTCTCAGGAGACCATGTGACCGACAAGTGTGAGTTTCAAAAAGCAGGGACTTCAATAACTATTCCTTACCTCTCACCGTCGAACTTGTGTGGTTTCATTTGTTCCCTTGTTCTTTATAGGGGATCATACGGTGGTCTTGTTTCGTGTTCTATCTATCAAGATGACGAAGAGGACTTCGACTACTATTACTCAGTCCCCAAAAATCTAACTTCAGATCACATTTTATTTCAGTATTTTAAACCAGAAGATCTTTCCAATGACGTACCATTTAAATTTGAATTTCATTTCTATGACCGGGATAGTGATAAAGATTATGGTCAAGAGAGAATAAAAGAGTGTGGAGTCTTCCCGGTGTATGCCTCAAGCATAGAAATTGGAGTTGGAGCATCTAATGCTGAAAATGAATTGGAATCCATTTCTCAAATCAATAATAATGAGTCACAGCCTACTGAAAATGGAGATGCAGTTGGAGTTGGAGTTGGAGGCTCTAATAATTAAAATGGATTGGAATCCATCACTCAAATATGTGAGAATGAGTCACGACATGAATCGATTAGGGTTAAAGGCTCTAACAATGATAATAAATTGGAGTGGGAACAACTTCTTCATGGGATTACTTCATCGGTGTGAAACTTCACATACTTCACTTCTTCTTTGTAGGCTCCTTATTTTTAACTCTTTTCTTAAATTAAATTATACCTTCAAAATATAGTAGATATATGTTGAAAATACTCTTGATTCTAGAAAATTATACCTTACATATTGCAATGACATTGTGTTGTACTCCAACGTTGAACATGTTTTCTTTTGAAATACTTACAAAGAATATTGGTGGGAAATGAGCTCTAGCATGGTAGAAAAGTCAAAGCAATACTTGGATTGGTGGTCTATTTCACATCATTTACAAATAAAAATAGATTGGTTATTTTACAGTAGATGAGTGATATTAAACTATGATGCTAATGAATTTATGATTCAAAATAGGAAAACCTTTTTTCCCCTCTTGTCAATAAGATGAGTGATATCAAAGTGTGATGTATTAGAAATGTTTCCCGGTTCAGACAATCTAATAATATATAGATGATCTGAATCAAACTATTTAAGTTGGTTGAGTGATATTATTATTTATGGTAGTTCTTTGATGATATTATTATTTAATGATAATATTAATATATTTTATAATATTATTATTTTAATAATAGTTATCATACACTCTCTTTCAAGTTATCATACAACTCATACTTAGATGCACAAAGCACGTCCTTTATCATTTAACTTTATCACTTTTTTATTAGTTCAAGAGTCGTTTAATTCATCTTAATCTAGCCATTAGACCTATTACCAAAAATTTCTAGCCTTTATTTTCACTCAATATATTATTTGCATATTCACATTCAAGTTGAGAAAAAAATGGATGAAGAGTTCTTTGATAGTAATTGTAACTTAGAAAATTATTTTATTTTTAAGAGATTACCTTAATTTTAAATATTTGAATACTTTAACTTCAAATGTTCAACTATGTTTAAATTCTTTAATTTCATATTTTCTATATTTCTTTATTCTTAAATGTTTTTTACACTCTTTTAATAATAGGTTTTATTTAAATTTTAGGATAAAATAATATTTTTTAAAAAAATAAATATATGCTATTTTCTTTAAGAAAACTAATTAAACCATACCAAAGTGTTGTTTATTGGTTTGGATCACAAATTTCTTTGGTAAATACAATCCAAACAAAATCAATCAAAATTGATTGGATTGTGTTGTATAATCTTCCGCTGTACCACTCTGATCCTCCTAAGGTCCCGATACATCTCATTAGCTCCTAAATATATGTTAAGAGTATTGTTATGTACTTCCTCTAAAGTCATCTTTCTTAATTCAAGGTTACTATGCACCCAAGTTTGTTCTTGCACCTCAAAACAATGTCGATTTTTACTCAGAAATGGTTATCTATACTTCTACCAATCTTCTCCAGTTGGTTCCCTAAAAAAGGATCTGACTCCTAGGCTTCTCTAATCTCATCCATTAATTCACTAGTCACTTTCAACATAATCAATTCAATGCTCCTAAGGATAATCTCACACACCATGCATAAGTCTTTAAATTCTTCAATCCAATCCAACCCTTAAATCATCAAAAATGATATATCAGAGGTCATCATAATCAACACATTTGCCACAATATTGGTTTTACTTTTATGATCATTTCTAAAGATTAAGCACCTAAGCGTAAGTACACTTAGTATTCATATCAGATCTCTAATTTCACCACTCCATCTACACCCAAGTCACACTCTTATCCATCACCTTATCCTATAGCCTTATATCTTGTCACCAAAATGAATCAACTAATTATGCTTCTCTAATTTCCTTCAACAATCCATTCGTTACTCAATTCATACTTAGTCTCACACTACTAAAGGTAACCTTATAAGCCCAACTTAAGTCTCTAATTTGAGTCAAAAGGATTCATCTCTCTGATCATAAGGGAAGATAAATATAAAGGTTTCCTACACAAAACATCGGTCACCACAATGGCTTTACTCAATTAACAACTAAGTTTGAAATATTAGTCCTCCAGAAATTAAACTTTTAAAATCCGTCCCATACACTAAGTTAAAGGGTGTATCTTGGATGGATAAATGGATAGTCGTGTGATATGACCATAACACTTTGGGGAGTTCTTCCATCCATGACAGGCCTGAATCCTCAACTCGCCTCTTAATTCCCGAGAGTATCACCTTGTTTGCCGACTCTTCCTGTCCGTTGGATTGCAGAAGCTCTACAGACGTGAACATCATCCGGATCCTGACCTCTTTACAAAAATTCTGAACCCTTTCACTCGTGAATTGCGTTCCATTGTCCGATACTAACACTTGTGGGACGCCATATCGACATACGACATTTTTCCACAAAAAGGTTCTCACTTTTTCTATCGAGATTATCGCCACTGGTTCTGCTTCTATCCATTTGCTAAAATAATCCACTGCCACGATCAAGAACTTTAGTCGGCACACTGCCATCGGAAAGGGGCCTAAGATGTCAATACCCCACTTATGGAAAGGCCAGGGAGATATGAGTGAGTGTAGTCTTTCAGCCGGCGAATGATGTTGAATTGCGTGCCTTTAGCATTCATCTCATTTTCGGACCCAATTGACACAATCGTTTCTTAGGGTCGGCCAGAAGTACCCTGCTTTAGTAACCTTGTACACAAGGGATTGGCCACCGATATGGCTTCCACACATGCCGCCATGAACTTCATCCATTACTCTCTGCGCTTGAGATGTAGTCAAAAATCTCAGAAGGGGAGTGCTGAAACCCCTTGGATACAACCTTTCAAAGATAACCACAAACTTGGCTGACTCCCTTTCTATCAACGATGGTTCCCTTTTGTCCTCTGGTAACTCCCCCCGTGTTAAGTATGCAATGTATGGTCCCATCCAAGAATCAATCTCCTCTTTGACAAAAAGAACGCTTCCCTGTGAATCATTAATACTCGGTTGAGCCAATGTTTCTTGGATAACTGATCAAGTGGCCCCTGGCTTCTTAGTACTTGCTAGCTTATACGTGGTTAAGTGTAAACTCTCAGAAATTTTCCGATAAGAGCTTAACCTTTTCTAGGTATTTCGCTAATTGAGGGTCCTTTGCCTGAAAAGTTCTAGCCACTTGTCCGGTAATCAACTGAGAGTCACTCCTAGCTGACAAGCTCGTCGCCCCCATCTCCTTTGCCAAGACCATCCCTACCAATAGTGCCTCGTATTGCACTTGATTATTGCTTGCCCGGAATTCAAAACGTAATGATTGTTCCTACAAATTGTTAAACCTCCTTCACTGTAGATGGACTCCTCATGTTGATGATAACCGAGCACTTGTCAGGGTTTGCTTCGATGCCACGATGAGTTAATAGGAAACCGAGGAATTTTCTTGCTTGGACCCCAAAAGAGCACTTTTCGGGATTCAACTTGAGTTGATACTTATCGATAGTGTCAAACAACTCTTGCAAATCGTCAAAATGCCAATTGATGCTCGTCGACTTCACCACCATGTCATCCACATAAGCTTCCACATTCCTACCTAGCTTATTCAATAAGACCTTGTCCATTAGTTGTTGATAAGTCGCCCCCGCATTCTTTAAACCGAACGGCATAACCCTGTAGCAAAAATTAGCTTGATCTGCTATGAAGGCGATTTTGTCTTCATCTGCTGAATGCATTCGTATCTGGTTGTACCCCGAGTAAGCATCCATGAAACTTAACAATTTGTACCCCGACACTCCATCAACCAAGCAGTCTATGTTGGGCAGCGGGTACGAGTCCTTTGGACATGCCTTATTCAGATCAGTGAAGTCCGTACACATTCTCCATTTCCCATTACTTTTGCGCACCATCACCACGTTTGCCAACCAGGTCGGGTATTGGATTTCATGGACATGTCCTGCCATCACCAACTTTTTTGTTTCTTCTGTGATGGCCCTTCGTTTCTCCTCTCCAAACTTCCTCCTCTTTTTGATCACTGCTTTTGCATTAGGGTCTATAGCTAGCATGTGGCATAGGAAATCGGGGTCAATGCCAGGCATGTCCTTGGAATGCCATGCAAACGCCGACACATTTTCTCTTAAAACCTAAACCAACCTTTCTTCATTTTCCGGGGTTAAAGAAGTACCAATTTTCACATTCCTTCCTTCCATCACTACTACTTCCTTGACATCTTCTGCAGGGGCGGGTCGGTGATCAAACTGACCCATCCTAGGATCAAATTCGATGGAATGGATGTGCTTTTCAGCTGGTGTGGTATACAAGCATCTTCGTGCCTTCAAACTATCCTCGTAACACTTTAGGGCGACCTCTTGATCCACTTTGAAGACTCCAACGTCCCCATTCGACAATGGGTACTTCACTTTTAGATGCGATGTTGCCATAACGGCTCCTAGTTTATTCAGCGTAGGCCTTTTGATGAGTATGTTGTAAGACGACTGAGCATTCACTACTAAATACCGAATGGTCACTGTTTTCATCTGCGAGCCCTGACCAAAGGTCGTCTCTGAATTGGCATATCCCCTAGCCATAACCTGGTCTCCTGCAAAACCTACCAGGGTTCCCGCGTAGGGTACAAGTCGGTCATTAAGGATCTTCATTCCCGCGAAGGCTTCCTAAAAAAGTATGTCGGTCAAACTTCCCTGGTTGACCAGAATGCGCTTCACATTATAACCCATCACTATCGTCGTGATGACAATTTGATCATCCTCATAAGGGGCCACTCCTTCATAGATGGCGTCTGAGAAGGAAATCAAGGGTTGGGGAGGTCGGCGGAATTCTGACACGGACAGAACGGAGCATATGTACCTTTTTCGAGCAGCTGAGGTGACGCCTCCTCCCGCAAATCCCCCTGCCACTGTGTTGAAATCCCCGTGAATCGCCTGT